GACAAAGGAGCAGCGGACAGCTTTGGTTTTTTCACAGAGCTTCGGGATAGCGACGGATAACAGGTAGTCTACCGGACCTGCGCTCCACTCAGTAATTCATACTAGTTCTATCGTCCGACAGCAGAAGCAAAAATATGTGAATGATAAAAATGTCATGAATTCGGTTCTATCAAAATACTAAGTATGTGTTGAGAGGACAGAGCCTCAGCTGTTCATACTGTTTTTAGCTAGCTACACAGACCGCAGCCAGGTGGCAGTGAGAACTGAAGACTGGCATGGTCATTTGAACAAAGTTGTTAACGTAATTAAATTGAATTCAGCACAGCTAAATTAATAACTAGAATGATTTTAAGTGGTAACTATATATTTATCATGGTGCTACGTACAGTCCAGACTAAAAAGGTAGCGAACAACTACAAGTACTTATCTCTGATGTAGAAAAAAAATATTTTTCAGGTTCAATATGTCTGTGGTGTTAGCGGGAGATATTAGCCTAGTCATCTACCCTGAATCTTGTTTCTGGATGACTGGACTAACCTAAAATGGCCAATACTGGAACAACAAAATGCAGTTGACCATCCAACTATGTGAAATAAGCAATAAAGTGTAACGTGGTGTGTACAGTATGTATAGTACATAGAATATGAAAGATGTAAAAGAGCTAAGGTTTGAAAAGCAGGCCTAATTTATTGAATAAACAGTCAATATTAACAGTAATAATCTTTCAAAATATGTGTTTGTATCCTTTGTTGGCAGGAGTGAGTGATGTCAGGAATACAGTGCAAATTCAAAACTGAGTGGAAAGAAAAACCCCAGTTCAGGGACTGGCTAGGAGAAGTATCTGGAGATGTGCATAGGGCATATTGCAAGCTGTGTAGAAAGTCTTTTGATATCAGTAACATGGGCATCTCAGCGCTCAGGAGTCATGCACGGGGACAAGGCCATGTCAAAATTTATGGACAGTTAAGCAGTGAGAGAAGAATGACAGATTTCATGAGGAAAACTTCAACAGATGCAGGAGAGGGAAGTAGCTGTCCAACAAACAGAGAGCTACCGGCAGCCAGTGTACATGATGAACGTGCCAGTAATGAAAGTACACCATTACCAGTGCCTAGTACAAGTGGAGAGAGAAATGGCTCAGAAACACAGGTCATCTCAGCATGTTTTTCAAGCCAAGCTGTGTTTGAAGCAGAGATCCGCTGGGTAATTAAGATGGTGATGTCACACTACTCATTCAACTCCAGCTCTGATGTCTCAGCCATTTTTGGTCAGATGTTCCCAGACATTGAGATTGCCAAAAAGTTTTCATGTGGTGCAACAAAAGCAGCTTACCTTATTTGTTTTGGCTTAGGTCCTTATTTCAAAGAGCAACGGGTCAATGATATAAGAAAAGCACCGTGCTATGTAGTTTCTTTTGATGAATGTCTGAATAAAGTGACACAGACAGAACAGTTGGATATTGTAGTGAGACACTGGAGCGAACACAAAGGGAAGGTTGTGGTGCATTATTTTGATTCAGAGTTTATGGGACACACGCAAGCAGAGAAGCTTCTGGAAAGGATCAAGATAGCCCTGTCACCACTAAATCCGAATAAGCTGTTGCAGATTTCAATGGATGGTCCTGCTGTCAACTGGAAGCTCCTGAGGATATTCCAAGAGGACAAAAGCCAAGAGGACCCAGATGCACCAAAGATGATAAATTTGGGAAGCTGTGGTTTGCACGTTCTTCATGGAAGTTTTCAAGATGGAGAAAGAGAAACCGGTTGGAAGGTGGGACATGTGCTTAGAGCACTTTGGCAGATGTTCCATGACTCACCAGCAAGACGTGCTGACTTCATTGAGGTGACCAAAACAACAACATTTCCTCTGAAGTTCTGTGCCCATCGATGGGTTGAAGACTTGGCAGTTGCAGAGCGGGCAATGGAAGTGTGGCCAGCTGTGCAACAGTACATCAGCAGCCACCAGAAACTCCCAAAAAGCAAAGTACCATCATCTGCTTCCTACTGTACAGTAAAAGAGGCCACAGCTGATCCTCTCTTTCAGGCTAAGCTCCAGTTTTTTGCATTTGTTGCTAGACAGCTGAAGCCTTTTTTGGAGAAATTCCAGACAGATGCACCAATGGTGCCTTTCCTTGCAAAAGAGCTTGAGTCTATCCTGAGATGCTTGCTGTCATGCTTTATTAAAAGAGAAGAATTGGAGAAGATGAAAACACCTGTCCAGCTGCTGAAACTTGATGTGCAAAACAAATCAATCCATGTGCCACTCAAACAACTGGACACTGGATTTGCCACAAAACAAGCTTTACAGAAAGCATCTGAAAAGCTCGAGGAAAATCCAGTGAACATACAGGTGTTCATGAACGAATGTGTCACTTTCCTTGCTGTGACCTGCAAAAAGATTATGGAGAGAAGTCCACTTGCATACCCAGCAGTGCGGCACTTGAGCTCCCTCGACCCTGTGATCATGGTAACAGAAACTGAGCATGCAATAGCAACGTTTGAGAAACTCCTACAGGTTCTCCTCAATGCAGGATGGTGCACTGCCTCGGAGTGCGACAAAATCCTTGCTCAGTATAAAACTTTCTCAGTGCATGCAAGTGTAAACCTCAAGGCAGAATTCCAAGATTTTTCATACAGATGCAGGCTTGAGGAATTTTTTGGGAGATTTATCAGTGGTAGAGCAGAGTATGCAGCACTGTGGGACATGATGAAATGTCTCCTAACGCTGTCTCATGGACAAGCAGCAGTGGAGCGAGGATACTCCGTGAACAAGGACATGTTAGTGGAAAACTTGAAAGAGAGGAGTCTGATAGCATTGCGGCTGGTCCAGGATGCAATGGCTGAGCGTGCAGTTAATGAAGCCCTGCCGAAAGAACTAATCCAACACTGTAAAGGAGCCAGAATGAGGTATATGCAATACCTCGAGGATGAAAAAAAGAATAAAGAACAAACTGCAAATGAGAGGAAAAGAAAGGAGCTCCACCAAGACATAGAAAATGTCAAAGCAAAACAGAGAAGAATAATGAAAAGCAGTGAGATGATGCAGAAAGAGGCAGACGAAATGGCAATGAAAGCAGAAAAAAAACAGGACTTCACATTACTGTCCAAATCCAATGCTTATCGCAAAAGTGTGGCTGAGAAAAAGGAAGAGCTACAAGCCCTAGCTAAAACACTGGAAGACCTGCAGGAGAGCGCCAAGAAGCTACAATAACTGAGATTTATTTTAGAAGAACATTTTTATTGAAATGACATTGCTTTGTTTTATATTGACTTTTTTGCACTGCAGGATAGGGTTTGAGTTTGAAATTTATATTTTTGATTTACTTTTGCAGTGATTTTCATTTTTACTTCTAGAATGCAGGTGTCAGACTAAGTCAGCTGTAAGTAAACAGTAAAAAGGTAACCTGAAGGAGTTTGTTTTGGTGATTTATTGAACATAATGTACTTTTTGAAGAAAGTACAAGAAAGTAAGAGGGGGATAAATAAACATTTGAGCATTACTGTCAAATACAAGATATAAGGTACCGTACAATTGCAGAAAATAACACTTCTCCAAAGCTTGGGATACACGATATATACCGAAATTTAATTTCTACTTTATCATAATATTTTACTTCATATTATCCAGGAGGCTAAATGGATTTTACATTTAAACACATTTAGCTTTACAAAATGTAAATCAATTTCATCAATATGACAAAAAAATTACAAAGATTTGGTAAATCAAAAATAATTTAGAGTCAAAAAGACACAACTCATCAATTTATGCCATTATGTATAACGGATGCGTAATTTGCCTTGGTGTGAGCAGATGCAATTAATTTAAAAGTTTGATAATTGTTCATATTTTCCAACGTTAGTAACGGATTGCGAATACAGTTTGGACCTTTAAAGTGATTTCTGCTCGTAAAATAGCAGTGTGGACCAGAGGAGTTACATTGTGTCAAGTCCTCTTTTTCATTTTTTGTTTTCGCAAACCTGTTTTGTGTTTTATTCATAATTGTGAATAAATGAAAATAAACTTTAAAAAAATCTTTGTCGTGTTTTTGTTCTGCTCAGCAATTAAACCAGGTGATTTCAAACAGGACAGTGAATTAACCTGGTTCAGTTGCTGAGCAGAACAAAAACATGACATGGAGATGACTTGATGATGCCACAATATCGCACCTCTGGTATGAACTAAAGTAGAGAATAACTTCTGTTTTAGTTGTGTTGCATTGTAAGTAGAGGAAAGCAGGCGGGATTGTGAAAGACAAAAATCTTTCCACAACTATATTGCCAATATAACGGCATAGGTAGGTACAATATCATATCTGTTTCTAAATATGTCCTGATATGATCATTCATATATATATATATATGTGTGTGTGTATATATATATATATGTGTGTGTGTATATATATATATATATATATACATATATATATATATATATATATATATATATATATATATATATATAAGTGATCATATCGAGATATCGGCAAACTGTAGTTATGATAACTTGACTTGTACACTGAAAAAGTCTTGAAAATGTCCTGGAAAAGTCCTGGAAAATAATTTAAAGAAAAGAGTGGGAACCCTGCCCGAGTTCAAATAGTCCAAAATTGACGTAAAAGTCGTTCCAAATAAGCTGTAGCCATCTTGTTTACCTACGTCGCATCATCCCACCCACCAAACCAATAGAGCACCTTGATTGGCCCACAAAGCCAAAAGAGCGCTGTAATTGATGCACCATTGTGGAACAATCACAGTGCTCTATGGGTTTGAAACCCCAATAGAGAGCTGTGATTGGTCCCGCCAGAATGCAGCTGGGGGCCACGGGGCATTCCTAGCCTGTGGCCGTAAACAGATCTTTGTGGTTGTTCAATGTTTATTTTCTTTAAGTAAGAGCTAGTCTGAGGTCTCATTATTTTCCAAACATTTTATTTGGAACAGATTAAAATAAAATGAGATTTATTTTTTATCACATTAATCTACATTTTCTTTTATCCTGTCCAGAACCTCCACAGCATCAAGTTTGGGAAAAAGAGAAGGTTCTGACTGACCAGCAGCTCTTTAACCAGGAGTCGACCTCCAGTTTGGACCAGGAGGAACCAGAACCTCCACTGATCAAGAAAGTCCAGCAGGAACTCTGTAGCCAACAGCATGAAGGGCAGTTCCTTCTGAAGCAGGAAAATATTAACTTCATGGAGACTTCTTCTGAAGAAACAGACTGCCATGAACCAGAACAGAACAGGACCCAACCCTTGTGTCAGAGTTCTACAGAAGCTGAGAACCAAGATCAGGGTGGATGCAGGAAAAAAAACTCAGAATCAAAGGGCAATGAAGAACTGACACATAACAAAAGACGTCAAAAAACCAATCATCATAGAGACAGTGTAAATGGTCAAAAGCTTAAAAGGCTGAAGAGGGCTCACAGAGGTGAAAGGCCATTTTCGTGTGAGCTCTGTGGAAACTATTTCAGTCACAAGTGGTATTTAAATGTTCACATGAGAGCTCACACAGGTGAGAAGCCATATTCATGTAAAACTTGTGGTAAATGTTTTAGTGTCAGTAGTTCCTTGACTACACACATGAGAACTCACACAGGTGAGAAGCCCTATTCATGTAAAACTTGTGGTAAATGTTTTAGTGTCAGTAGTTCCTTGACTACACACATGAGAACTCACACAGGTGAGAAGTCATATCCATGTAAAACTTGTTGTAAATGTTTTAGAGACAGTAGTGTCTTGACTAAACACATGAGAACTCACACAGGTGAGAAGCCATATCCATGTAAAACTTGTGGTAAATGTTTTAGTGAGAGTAGTTCCTTGACTAAACACATGAGAACTCACACAGGTGAGAAGCCATATTCATGTAAAACTTGTGGTAAATGTTTTAGTCGCAGTAGTTCCTTGACTAAACACATGAGAACTCACACAGGTGAGAAGCCATATCCATGTAAAACTTGTTGTAAATGTTTTAGAGACAGTAGTGTCTTGACTAAACACATGAGAACTCACACAGGTGAGAAGCCATATCCATGTAAAACTTGTGGTAAATGTTTTAGTGAGAGTAGTTCCTTGACTAAACACATGAGAACTCACACAGGTGAGAAGCCATATCCATGTAAAACTTGTGGTAAATGTTTTAGTTGCAGTGGTAACTTGACTACACACATGAGAACTCACACAGGTGAGAAGCCATTTCAATGTAAAAGTTGTGGTAAATGTTTTAGTGAGAGTGGTAGCTTGACTACACACGTTAGAACTCACACAGGTGAGAAGCCATTTCAATGTAAAAGTTGTGGTAAATATTTTAGTGAGAATGGTAACTTGACTAAACACATGAGAACTCACACAGGTGAGAAGCCATTTCCATGTAAAAATTGTGGTAAATGTTTTAGTGAGAGTGGTAGCTTGACTACACACGTACATTAAGGACATATCAGCTGTAATGTCCATTTTTGGTTTGGGCTTTTATAAATAGCTAATTTTTGTTGAGTTTTTGCTTTCCCTCCCAAATCATCATGTTCGTGAGACTGTGAGAACAGTAGGGTGTGTATTTGTGGGAGATGCAGTCTCCCTGAGGTGATTGATCTGGTGAGATTAAAATCCAAATTACTTATTGGGCATAAATCAATCAATCAATCAATCAAATTTTATTTGTATAGCACCTTCTACAACATTATCCGTATGTGTACACAGATTGGGTAACTTGGAGTTAGAGGGGTGGTCCCCTTTGGTAATTTGGAGTGTTGCATCCTTGTATCAGTCAGCGAAGGGCGGACCCTTCAGAGGATTGTAAGGAAAATCCTCCCGCTGACTTCAGTGTATAGGGTTAGGGTTAACCCTAACCCTAACAGTGTATACACGTCGGAAAAGAATAGAAACACTGGGAACACGATGTTGTTCCAAGGTGATTTAGCATTTTCTGACCTAAAATTAATGCAGAAAAGCTTATGGGGAGATGTCTTCATAGTAGCATGGTCGACCAGCTGCATAGAACACTAATCCTTAGGTTGTCAGAAAATATGTGTTATTTGTTGGAAAATATGTGTTCTTTTATTTATGCTAAGGATTTTATTTTGAAGGTTTCCTGTGGTCTTTGTAAATTGAAACCATCCTCGTTCCATATGACTAAGTGTGTCAATTTAAAGGGTGAAGCTTTATTTTATGTTTTCAGTTATTGAGTTCTTGCTGGTTATCAGACTTCTAGCAATTCTGTATTTCAACACTATAGAATATATTTAGGTGCTGTATTCATGACCACAGCCTAAAGCAGAGATGAAACTGACTAGCAGTTCTCTATCAAACATTTTAGTTGTCATCTCTGGCATTACAGTTTAGAAAACGGAGGGAGGATGCACAAGCATGACAACAGCAAGCAAAATTTGTTATTAAGGAGGAAGCAGTTGCTGGTAAGCCTCTGAGCCGTGCAGCACTTGTTCCTTTTTTGAATTAAACGTGCTTCATTACAAAAGCCAAACCACTCTTAAATCTTGGAGCTGATATTTTCTTTAATCGGTTTATTTGTTTTCTGCCCTTGTGTGTTTGTTTTTGTCTTTCTTTTCCTTTTGACCCCTCGTTCATCGTTTGTGACATCTGTCCTCTCAGCGGTTCCCAAACTTATTGAGACGCGCACCCCCTTCTATGTCCCGACCATGTCGACGCACCCCCCAGCCCCCACATCAGGGCATGGCTCTCTCTCTCTCTCTCTCTCTCTCTCTCTCTCTCTCTCTCTATATATATATATATATATATATATATATATATATATATATATATATTTAGAGTGCCTAGGTAGCACATAAAAAATGCAATTTAACGGTTTTCTTAAAGCAGGAACGTTTAACCTGTGCGGCCAGAGCTCTCTCCTTGTTTAATACGTCATCCCACTATAGAAGCTAATATCTTAATTTGACCTGGAATGAAAAATGTTGTTATAAAACCTCTTAAAAGTTTTTATCCCGGAGGAGGCAGCGCTCATTTCTGCCTTCAGCCTGACGGTGCGCCGGAGTTGGCGCAGCGTGCGCTTATTGAGTGAATGTAGGATATCTGCTCCATCACTGACATCCCAGGCTAACAAGGAGTTACGCTCTCGTGTCAGCAACTAACAGCAAGCTGCAAAGAAATACGCAGATGCAAAACGTGGTGCAAGAGTGCCAAACATCAGGGAAGGAAGCTTTGTGAGAGTATGGAAGCTAGGTACAGGTACAGCCAAGTAGAAAAAATGCTATGGTCAGGCAGCATGAATTAACTACTTTATGGAGGATGCTGTTCCTCCATCTGATAGTTACAATTTGGGGAAAAAGGATGAATTTGACTGCCTTCCAGGGAAGGTAGGTTAGATCTACAGATTGCAGATCACAACTGTGCCCCAAATATCTAGAGGACAGATGTCACAAACGATGAACGAGGGGTCAAAAGGAAAAGAAAGACATAAACAAACACACAAGGGCAGAAAACAATTAAACCGATTAAAGAAAATATCAGCTCCAAGATTTAAGAGTGGTTTGGCTTTTGTAATGAAGTGCGTTTCATGCAGAAAAGGAACAAGTGCTGCACGGCTCAGAGGCTTACCAGCAACTGCTTCCTCCTCAATAACAAATTTTGCTTTCTGTTATGCTTGTGCATCCTCCCTCTGTTTTCTAAACTGTAATGCCAGAGATGACAACTAAAATGTTTGATAGAGAACCGTTAGTCACAGTTGTATCACTGCTTTAGGCTGTGGTCATGAATACAGCACCTAAATATATTCTATTGTTGAAATACAGAATTGCTAGAAGTCTGTAAGCCAGCCAGAACTCAATAACTGGAAACATAAAATAAAATAAAGCTTCACCCTTCAGATCGACACTGTTATGTGCAGCGCCCCTTTTTGGCCACAGGATGGCCTCAGCGGTCTTCTGCTTCGCCTGTCTCACGGTGAACAGGTGTTTATGATTATTCATAATCATGGATCAGCTGTTAAAAGCTGCCCTCTTGCCCTCATTCAGAGAGAAGGTACAGGGTAGTATAGACTCTTAGGCGTTTATGCTATTCTCTTCTCGTGTGCTTGGCTTAGTATTTTTCTCGTTCGACTTTGGTATTTGACTCATTTTGGAATTTGGATTTGGATTTAGGATTTGACTATTTGGTAACTTGACTTTGGACCGGCTTTAGATTTTGACTTTGGATAACCCTCGCTCTTTTTAGTCTCTGTTGTTTATTCCCATCCCCTTTGGGGTTGGTGTTTTCCGTTCTTCCCTTCGTTTTGTAGATGAGCTCCTTTGTGTTTTGAATATAGATATTTCTTTTAAGGTTGTAAGTATTCATTTTGTAATAAATTCCTTGTTTTTTAGCGACACTGCACTTTGTTATTATTTAATCCACACACCATTTTTATTACTCCCCTCCTCATCTCTCCTAGAGAGCCGGGGGACGTAATAGACACACTTAGTCATATGGGACGAGGATGGTTTAAATTTACAAAGACCACTGGAAACCTTCAAAATAAAATCCTCAGCATATTTAAAAGAACACATATTTTCCAACAAATAACATATATTTTCTGACAACCTAAGAATTACTGTTCTATGCAGTCCTTGTAGAGGGTAAAGTGGTGTTCTGTTTATCGCCAGCAGAGGGCGCAGATTTCCCATTCTTTCAAGGAAACAAAACAGTGTTTGGAAGAAATTAGCTAAAGTCATTTTACTAAAGCCTCATTTATGCTTCTCCGTCTGCGTCAGTGCGAAGACACGCAACGCCATTATTCGTCCTTGCGTAGGGCATGCAAGTACGTACGGAGTCGATCCCACTTTTTTAAACATCCGTCGAACGAGATGGATTACGCAAGCTTGTGATTGGTCAGGACACCGCTGTTGTTTACAGTGCCGCCATTGCAAAGAGAGCCGAGGATAACTAGCGCAGACACGGAGAAGCTTGAAGAATACCTCGCGAAAAAACTCTAAAAATATGAACGTTTAATTCTCCCGTGACTGGAGGAGTGAAAAGATGCGCAGCAGGCATTTTATTTGTGGACGGAAATGACAGGAAACGTGGGTTTAGAGGTGAGGAGCGCATGAAGCGGTGGGAGAATGAGAGAGAAATATGTCCGTGTTAAAAGTCTCTTATATACACAAAAAACCCAATATAAACACACGATCTTGGACCGATACATGACAGGATACCACAGAACAGCGCTACGCCCTCTGTGGTCCTGCCGGGCACTTGCTTTGCAACACTCCCCAGGAGACGGAGAAGTAAAAGAGCAAAACGCTTCTCTCAATCCGTGCGTGTCTGTCCCTTGCGGAGCTGACAGAGAAGCATAAACCAGGCTTAAGGAAGTTTTTAACCTTTATTAATCCAGATTCATAATCCATAGCCATCACTCACAGGAGACACAATGCCACCCACCACCTCAAACTGACCTACAGCGAAAGAAGATCAAACAGAAGACCTGCAGGCCTCTGGAGGTGTTGGTGATTTGGTGGGCGGTGGTGGTTGAGTGCTTTTGTTGTCTCATCGGCCCGACCTGGTGGTACCGGGCCCGGTGGCGCCGAACCCGGTGTGGAGTGCAAGAGAGACAGTCTCATGCAGACTGACCAATGAAGAGAGGGCCTCAAGTTAAGACCCTCTCCTCATTGGTCAGTCCACACGAGGTGTGTCAAAGGTTACCATGAGTGGGTTACGTGATGTCAGGCATTCAAGTACTGAGTATATTTACTGCATATTACATTAAAATATTCTGTATGTGACCATATTATGGTGATCCTTGGGTCGTGATGATGGGGCTCTTGAATATTGTTGCCCAGGGTACAACGAAGTGTTAATCTGGCCCTGGTGGACTGTCAGTCGGTTGGGGGTGGGGCGGTGCAGAGACGTATGAAGATGGTCGTTCTGAGACATGAGACTGTATGTTTTTGGTGACCATTCCAGCAGGAGTGTGTAAAACAGATTATTGCTTAATTAAAATTGAATAAAAAATATATATTTAACTTGAAATAAATTGTAATGCTTGATTCCCACCTTGATTGTTGTGGTACAGCCATGGGAGGAAGTGATTTCTGTTTATTTCGGGTCCCAGCCAGATTCTTTGTGTTTACTTTTTTCTTCCCTCTCACTGTTTCCCTGCTGCTCTCTCCATCATCATGCTCACTTATTTATACTTCATCAGGTCAGGGTTACAAGGACTCATCATCTATCTATCAGCAGTAAAGAGTTACAGCTACATGTCACAAATGCTTCCTGGGAACTTTTAGTTATAATTAATGTAAAATTATTTAAAATCCATCTAGGGTCATTCATAATATAACCAGGTATTGTATTTTGCCAAGAAAAAGAATATCATGTTAAGCTAACTTCTTGATGTAACTGCATCCACTAAACACCAGCATGAAGTTATTGACGTTATGAAAGCAAACATGGCTGGAATCAGTTTTACTGTAATCTTGTTATTATTCTTTAAGTGTACGTGCTGCTGTAATGAGTGAATGTCCCCACTGTGGGATTAATAAATCTATTCTGTTCTATTCAATACATTTTTATCAGCCAGTAGGAAAAAAATACGTTTGAGGAATTTTGACCTTTCTAGTCTTCCGTACAAATAACCTGGTTAAGGAGAAGGGGTTCATCTCCCAAACAGAAAAAACACACTAGTAACACGGTGAATTAATTCCCCCCGTAACCAACTAATGTAGGAGAGGGGTGTGTGAGTGAGTCACCGCGGTGGAAAGCCCAGCTTGCTGTGAGCTTGAGTAGCGAGCGATCTGTGGCTGATGAGTGAAAACAAGACAAAACACATTCAGGACTGAAGCTCCATCAGAATCGGCTTTATTTCTCAATAAAAGCTTGTCATTTTGGTGTCACTGTTCAGGGAGAGAGAACCGAGCCTGCCCGTCCCATCCGCTGCAGGTGAAGCTCACCGCTCCGCCCACCTCCCAGCCAGAGCGGAAAGAAGTACATCAGCTTGGATTATACATGTAGTGGGATGAGTCACCTGCCACCAAGTAACTGGACGACCTGTCATTGAGGGAAGGCGCTAATATAAATAGGGCCTGAGGTGGCGCTACAGCGATCTTTTACTTTGGCTCAAACTTCCGCTTCTTGTGTGAAGCGCCATTGTGTACCGGACTCCGGCGTGTCGGACTGTGAGTACTATCTAAAAACTTTATGGGTGCTCAGACTCCTATGTGGCTTTGCAGGAGGCTTTCTTTTCACGCCGCCAACAGGAAGAGGAGACATTACAGGAATTTTCCCTAGCTTTAATGGCCCTCATGGCTGCAGTGCAGCAGCAGGCCCCCAGCGAAATGGTAAATGCCGAGGTGTTGCTACGAGACCAGTTCGTAGAATATGTGGTAGAAGGGTCTTTGCGCCGTGCATTGAAGCAGTCTGTGCGTGGGAGGCCTTCGGCTACACTATTAGAAGTCCGAGCAGAGGCCATTCGGTGGGAGCGGGAGGGGATATCGGGAGGGCCTA